GCCACATTCATGACTCAAAGCCAAGCTGCAAAAGGGAACATTACTGTTACTAACTATAAAGGAATGAATGTGATCAGGAATAAGGACTTTAAGTTAAAAGCATGTGTTGATATATTGAATGTTGTTCCCTGTGAATAAAAATCAGACCTGGCCAGCTGGTGAAAGTATGGAGCTGTTGTTTCCTGATGTGTTCTCATGCATAGGAAGTCTCCTGACCTTGGGCCTTGATTCTGCGAGCATGTATACTGATCATTCATTTCAGCTTACCAAAGTATTTGCCCTAGGACAATGTGCTGTTTGACTTCTTGCAAAGCAGAAACGATCCTATCTATCTTCCACATAAATTCTACTAAAAACCACGTCGCTTGTGTTCAGCCCACCTTTGAAGTCCTGAGCTAGTAATGGGAAGCTAGATAATACAAGTCAATGAAAGCTCAGTCACAGAACACTGCAGTAGTTTGCATATGGATTATACACCTCTGCGTGGATTTTTAGTCTATATTTCTAGAATGTTTGTATCGTGAAATTACAAAAGGGAATTAAATTAAGAATTTTTCAGTAGCATATAAATACATAACAAATATGACAAAGGTTATCATGAAGAAGCCATTGTTCTTGAGGTTTGCTTGAAGCTGCATGGAATGTTCTGCACTTGAGATATCTAGGCAGCAAGGCCGTGTGAATCATCAAAATATTAAATGTATCAGTGTAGCAGCAGTTGCTGTTTCTTCATGTTGACAGAATAATGGAGGTCTTCTGATTCTTCAGAGCCCTCGCTTTCTTTGGCCATATAGCGAGTATCCTGTACTTCAGCTGATAATCGGAAGGAAATTAATATCTTCACATTTTTGCAGGTTCAGATTTAGTACAGCACAATATTTAATACTGAGTCTCCAGTGCTGGAAGCCCCCCAAATTATGTTTCAGTGGAGCATGGGCCATTAGGTTAGGGGTTGATTTCACCTAAGATTAATAAAACTTTCTTTAAACTAGAGGGCAGAATATAAAGGCACAGTTAAGACCAGGAAACTTAAATAGTTAGTATATGAAGTTAAAATTGCTCTTAGTGAGAGATTCTGGAGTAGGAGGAAAGCACACTTTACTTGAGCAGAATGCAGGCTGTTCAACTGGTGTTCTGTACATGATCCAGGAAAACTCAGAACTTCCCCAAAAGGTTGTCCGCTCTAATGCTATGCATTTTTCAAATGGGGTCTTGTTACTTCTGGCTTAACTGATATTCAAAACGGGCATAAGAACGGTTTTCTCATTTTGTGGTATTTGCAAGTTAGCAGCAACTGAGCTAGTGCAGAAGGAAACTGGTGACATCTGTGCTATTCCCTAAATGCTTGAATAATTCATAATTCCATATGGCATGCGTTTGGTCAGACATCAAGTGCATCTTACGGGGTAGATTCCAGTACAGACAAGAAATTGTTAAATCTAGAGTAACAGAAATTACTATTCTTTTATGTTGCCACAATAAGAAAAAGCTGTAATCTTCCTGCTTTCATATGAGTTTACATGCATTTTTAGCTAATTCAAGAAGTCACACAAGCAAACAGAACAGTCATTCATGAAACTTGGTCCTAATTCTCTTTCAAAAACCAGTGGGATGTATGGACACTTGGAAACAAAATACCTGAAGTAGTCTGGCCCCCTTTAAGTCCTCTAACCTAAAAGTACAGGGGCAAAGGATGTTAGTGTGAAAAGTTAAACTCGTTCTAGCCAAGACAAATGTCTTCAATGGAACAGAGTCACAGGAACTGGGAAGCGTATTAAGGTGTGTGTGAATTGTATTCCAGGGATGGGACCTCATCTGTAGGAGACTGCAGACTTGCTTTCTTGAAAGATAACTGATCTAATATACCAGAAATTTCAGAATTGATTGGGTAAACTGCGTGACACTGTTACATGAGTAATGCTGCAGAATACAATAAGTCATAGGTAAAAATTTACTGACACTTAAGTTAAATAAAGATGCCTTTAAAAAATAAGTTAAACTGAGGTCCCACGGCTTCAATAAAGGCAGCAAAAACTTTGCAACCTACTTCAAGCCCACTTTTGGGCCTTGGATTTTGTACTTGAAAAATGCCCAATACTAACTTAGCATTAGTAAAGAACTGACTTAAGATATAGGCTAGGTTTAAACTTGTTACAGATTTTTATATAGTGCATACATGAGTTTGTACGGTGGTATCATTAATTTTCCCCTTGCTTTAGTTTTATGCAGCTTTTGAGTGTAAGCAGAAATAAACCAAATGAGATTATGCTGGAGGTGACACAGGAATGTATTATTCCATGGTATTGTACTACTGTGAAGAAATTCTGGGATGCATATGCTCTGGTATCTGAAGTTTCACTGCATGGGATTAGTACTTAAATCCAAACACATGGCAAATTCCTTAATGTTAACTGCATCCTTGGGTGGGTGCATATGTACTCCATAATGTCCCTCTACATGTAACAACCTTGATTGTCTTTTATCAGAGCAGACTCTCAAAACAAGGTATACAAGTAAAGGTATATTTCCATTTCATTATAAATTGCCTACCTGTGGATACTGCTTGTAATGTGATGGGAACAGTTATTCAAAAATAAGTCATTTCCTGTGGGAAAACTAGTTTAGAGTCTTCCTTTAAGGAAGAGAATGACTGTTCCAGGTAAAGTATTACTAGGAGTAGCTCAGCAGTTTGGAGACAACTATATTTACTGACAGTGAGCTGCAAACTGAAACCTTGTATCCAAATATGCTTTAATTCTGAGATTAACAAAAAGTTTAAATTCAGCCTTCAGAAAAGTAGTTGCTTTTTATAGATGGGACAAAAAAAAAGCACACCTGTATCTGCACATCACAGGCTTTGGATCTAGTCTGCAGTTCTTCTCAGCATAGACCAGTCTGAACATAAAGCTTTCTACTCATTGGTCATCACAGACTGAGTGCCCCATTACAGGAGCTTAAGAACTGCACTAAAAAGACTTCTAAATTATTTCTTCTTGCATGTTTAGTTTTGATGATAGTTTCATTTATCAGTGTTCAATGAGTTGGTTGTAGACACTGCACTGACAAGACAGGTAGCAAAATAATTTAGGAAAATTGAGGGAAGCTTAAAACATTTTATAAGTTTTTTTTTTTTAAAGAAAACAAAGAACAATTATTGTAAAATAAGAATTTACATTATAATTTTTATTTCCAAAGCCCCAGATTGATATGATAGTTCATGGCACATAAAAGAAACAGAAAAGCGAATCTAGGTAAGTTGACATGTTTAACAAATATTGACCATATGGATTATGATTTTTACACCGAACACTTAAGTGCCTCAAAGATCAGAAAACATGATGCATTGCACCCACTTGACATACAAAGCCTTTGCTCTGAACTCTGTGCATTTAGGTACTGCTGCACTAAATATGCCATAGAAAAGCTGTAAAGTCCGAAGTTGCCTTATACCTCTAACATGTTCTGATCTGGTGTTGCACACATGTTATCAAACAAGCCAACTATACAGTTAGAAAATGAGACAGTTATAAAGAAAAAAAAATTGTATACACTAATTCAAAAGCTTCTACATGTCAGCTCTAAAGCATGCTGAGTAGCTGGTTAAAGTGACCCATGAAAATTGGGTATTTTCCAAGCACCCTTTAATTCAGGATGTGTATTTCAATCTCTGCATGTCTCTGTAACAAGAGAAGACAGGAAATTCCTGGTGCAATAGTCAGATGAGCAAGCTTTCAGTTGGTAGGTCAGTTCCAGCTGGGCCTACCATATTTTGCCACATAATAACATAAGTATCAAGAGCAGAAAATCTGTATCAATAGTGGAAAGATTTTAGCTTCCAACATCTAGTATTTTCTAAATTTGTAAATAATTGGTTCTCTCTGAAGCTAATTCTTCCTTTTTGATGTATCATTTGGTAGATAAACATGCCACAAGCACTTAACAAGCCAAAACCACTTAAAATATTCTGGATATCTTTTTTTAAAGAAATGCACAAAATGTAATGCGAAATAATCTTTGGTAGCGTTTAAAAATCGAGCTAGCATATATTACCTGCAAATCACATTTCAGATGTAAATCTCACTGCTGCTGGGTTTTTTCTTACTGCATAATCTTTTTCTTTCTTCTAGTAAACTCCTGGTTAGTAAAAATCCTATGAAGTGTTCCATACTCTGTAGTCTGGGGCAGGGGGTAAGGGGTGGGGGGAGAGTCCTTGGAGTTGTGTGGGATCCCCATAGATCTGGAATTCTTTGACCATATTCTCCATGGGTCATCTTCTCACACCAATACAGGAATAGTCTTTAGTTCTTATAAAATAAGAAGCACTTGTATTTTCTGGCGTAGAATGGCATGGTTGCTTGTTTCAACTATTTTCAGGGCCTGTAAAACGAAGGACAGACATGTTCATGTTCTTCATCGTTACCCAAATGTGTTAATTACGTGATCTTTCTTCCTTCCTCTCCTTGTCTTTCCTGTTACTGCTTTATTTCTCTTCCCAGTTCATATTTTGCTTTCTCCTAATGCTGGGTGAATAGTATTTATTAAATGTAGGGTGGTTTTCTTACTATTTTGGAGTTTGTAAAGCACTTTAGATTTGCATGGCACCAATGAATCTTGTTGGTACCAAAACAGCTTCCACAAATGGCCAGAGTAATAAGGTAAAGATCACTTGTCAGTGTTCACATGTTACCCAGCACTTCTAGAAGTTGGTCCTATAATACTCTGTAGTGAATTTTACCTCTGTGCAGTAGAGTAATCCAAAAGCCATGCACCTGATGAACATTATAACAGCATGCATGCAGTATCTGGCAAATTTTTCTGAAGCACGTGAGGGGGTTGAGATCACCCACATCACAGTGGCAGCTCTTGCTGAATCAATAGGCACTGTATAACATGAAAATAGGTTATTTTGTCAAAATAGAAGCATTAGAAATTTCCAAAGTGATTCCTGTGACCTTGCTCAGAGGATGATGCTTGTTTGAAAAGCCTGATTAGCAATTTACTTACGAGTACCTGCCTGACATCTTCCTTACAACAGCAATGATTATTCCTGCAAGGATTCCAACTGCAACTATGATTCCAATAATTATTCCAACCAGTGCAATTGTTTCCAGACCACCTGAAAGAGGAAGTCGGGCATGTTAGCATGTTTCTCCTAGAGACCACTGATAAGAGGCTACTGATAGAACTGACACTGTTCTGCTGCATTGCACTCCTTGGGGATTATTTGTAGCCTGCAGGCCTGCAAGTGTGCCTTGGGGCTGGAGGGCTCCCTATAGATGTGGCTCTGGAGACAGTAATCAGGTGAACCAGAGGAGGCAGATCAGGAGCAGGTTGTGGCTCCTCCTGAAACTTTTATTTAAGAATAGCATGGGCATGGCTAGTGGCTTCTAGAAGGGTATCACCTGGCAGTTAAGTTCTCCCTTGTCTTTATAAGAAATTCTTCTGGTTAATACCTTTTTCAGTGTTCTCTGGTTCCCTACTCAGTCCACCTGTAAAGCCAGAAAGAGAATAATTACTTAAGTACTCTCTGCTTTGTGCAGGGTTTTGCATCCCAATTTATAATGCTCTATCCAAGGAAGACTTTGACTATATCACAATGGTTTGAGGGCTGCATAGTAAATTGTTCTCTTGATAGGAAGTGAGCAAATGAAAAGCTTGAGAGAATGTGTGCAAAGAGCTCTCTGAAGTAATAAAAGAAATTAAAAATCTAAGGGACTGATTGTGATCTAATATATACTAGTGAAACTTAAGTGTGATCACATTAAGATCAATTAGGATATACCAGCATAAAATAATCATAATTAAGACAGAAATCAGATTTTAATTGTCTGAGATTGATTTATACTGATAAAATTTTGCTTTGCTTTCAGTGTATTTGCTGAACTATTCTTTGTCTATTTATAAAGGCTTTTTGTCAGTTTAAAAGTTCCTCAAGTTCCTTAAGTAGTTTTTTTTTGTGTATGGAAGATTGTACAAAATCTGTTTAGTATACTTCTCTAATTCTGTAATTGAATTTGTAGCTGAGTCCCCATCAGAAACAGATGAAACACAAATGCTACTTTTAATGAATTAAAAGTATGTCATCCCAAATCTTTAGCGTATCGTTCAGGAAAAGTCTGAAAATTGTATCTAAAATTCAAAGCTGCTAAACACTGCTTCTATTTAATGGTGAGCCAAGACACTGCTTCTATTTAATGGTGAGCCAAGACAAGAGGTCTACACTCTCAGCAGAGACAAGCAGGCTGGGAAAAGAGATAAAAGCATGCACAATTTTTAAACGAGTGTCCGATTTATTGAGGGATATGAAACTGCTGTAGAACATGGAAGCTTCAAAAAGAAGCTAGCCAAAGAAAGAGAAGTGTTTCTATGGCTGTTGTCTAGAGGTAGTTGGCTTAGGCTACTTAGGGGAGAAGTAGTAAATAATACCCATACTACAGGGCTTTGTAGAAATACAACCACCACCAGATTTGATTTGACTATCTGTTTTGAAGCAAAGCCTATATGCTAAAAACAAACTGACTTGAAATGTGACTGACCAACTGCCACTCATGTGAATGAAGTTTATCGCTAGTGTATTCTGATAGGCGAATGTGACATACTTGTGAGCCTCACAGACTTCCAATATTTGTGATCTGGTTTTTGAGTTTGTACTTGAGGTAAAGTGCACTCTGAAAATCTGTTGGCAACAGCCACTACTGTTCACATAAATTGGAGAAACCATTCTTCATTTATTTAGACACTATGCTAAATTTGCATTTAGTGATCAAAAAGTTGGTCTGGAAACAAAAAGACCTCTTCTCATAACTTTCTCCTTACTTTTTACTGGTATGCACAAGAGGCAACTGCTAAGAACAATCCTGGTCCAAAAGAGGCTGTATCAAGCACGTGCTCCTTTATTTGTGCCCATACGTTCTTCTGTACGCTGTCAGGCACAAAAGCATAGGTACTCAGCAAGCTGTCTGGAAGACAGCTAAGCAGGCATATGGTAAACAGGTCAGATTGATAAAAATCTTTTGCACTGATCTCTGGCTTGTTGACTACTGTATGGATGTGGGTGCAGTTTGCTTTGTATGTGCGTGACAGTAATTTGTCTCTCCAGGGAAGCTAAGGCAAACAACTTGGCAAAAATCGAGGGCAGCCAGGTTGTAACAGTTACGTTTTCTGCATTTGAGGATCTTTGAGTTGGTCAAAATTTTTTCTTGCTCTGGAGAGCTGTTTCCTTTTTATACTTATCTGAAAAGAAAGTGAAGGCTTCAGAGTTACTGCACTGCCAGTTCTACCCCCAAGGCAGGCACTGGTGAACAAAGTGGTGCAGCTAACTCATTCCTTTTGTCAGCACGTGTTATGAAGTTAGGATGCTGAGTGGTTACTAAGGAGTAATTTTAAGAAATCTTACTTTTCCCTTTCAAAAATCAGCAGTGCTACCTTTGAGAGCACCTTAAACTTGGTATTTGAATTTTCCAGATATTTAGTAGATGGCAGTAGAACTTTGATATAATAAAATAGAAATGAAAGATTTTTTTTTACCATCAACATTTTCTGTGTTATCTTTGTAACCAGTAGAATTAACACTGTCTTCATGTGGGGCAGATGCACTGTCTGTAGTCATCAGTTCTCCATACAGCCAGGGACTTGTTACATTTAGTCTTGCAGGCAACTACAAGAATTGGGGTGAAAAAGAAGGGAAAAGAAAACCTCAGTACATTGCGTCTACATGTGTGAAATAAGCATTTAAATTTCTTGGTCTGTCAGGTGCCCTGTGGATGCTTTTTTTAGCTATTACCTGTCATCTTTGACTTGTGCACAGTGACCAAAAAAGAAAAAAAAGTAAGCTGATTTGTCTTCCCTGCTAGAGGCTTTCTAAATCAGATGACCTCTCAGCAGGTCTACAAAATGTGTAGGAGATGACTGCAGAATTTTGCAGACCTGCCTCTTTTCATGTTTTTAACACTAGTTTGTCAGTTTGGTTTCACTGAAGCTAACGGAGAGGTACTGAATTAGAAGAGGCAAATGGCAGTAAATAGCAGGTTATGAACGCTTTTTGCAGTACAGAACTGCCAAAAACATTTTCAACTTTGTTACCTACAACCTGATTGCTTGCAAAGCAAAAGCATTGGCATTAGATCTTTATGTTAGAACTCAAGGTTATTCTTTATAATTTATCATGATTATTCAAAATCTAAGCCACAAGACATTACCAGGAATATGAAATCAGGGCAACTTAAAGGAACCTTTATTTAGACTGATACTCACCAGGGTTGGTAATTCTTCAAATTCTGTGTCATTTCTGTCTCTGAAATCAATCGTTGCACTTTCTTCTCCTTCTAGAACTGAGCTTGCTGAATAAAATTTTAGAAAATGAGTTGGGATTTTACTTGGTAGTCATATGTTCTGGCTACTTTGACATCTAAATTTTGTTAAACATGAGATCTATGTAGCATTCAATCTCCCTGCCTCTGCACATTTAGGTTTGCAAAAGTCTTTGGATTAACTTTGAATTCTGCTATAATCTTGTACAAAGCTGTAGCACAAAGAGCTTCAGTACACATCACTTAACCCTGGCACAACCTCGAAACATATTGGTTACTAAACACTTTGTCCAAGAAAACATTTTTTTCTTAAGAAAAGATCCCCCCCCTATGGATGCAACTACTGCAGATTTCAAGTTAAGCATTAACTTATGTATTTGGATAAATTACTTCAAGCATCTTCTGTTTTCTAAACTAGTAAGAGCTTTCTCCCATCTTTCAGCTCAGTCCCAGTTGCAACCTTTATTTTTAAAACTGTCATGAATGTTTATGGGTGTAGCTATAGTTCAGAAAATATTCCTACACAAATCTATTCACAGATTTTTCTAAAGTTGCAAACCTTACTTGCCATAATATGATTTTTTAGGAAACAATGTAAGGTCTCAGTTTTTATTCTAGACCTATATATGTCACCTGTGCTCTTTAGTATAACAGACATTTAAATTTTGGCCCATGCAATGCTTTTTCTTTACAAATACAGTCAAACTTCATCAGTAGGAAATATGAGGTGGAACAAGTAGAACACGAAAGATATGGATATGTGAAGATACTTGGCCGTATCAAGAAAATGTTGAAAACATAGGTATCATTTGATTAAGTTTCATGCTGATTCATAAAACTCGGGCCATACACAGTATGATGTTAATGTACTGTGGTATCTCTTGGGAGTTTCTAATTCTCCATGATTATAAAGCTAGGTGAGGCTGCTTGTTATGCTGTTGCCTGGGGCATAAGAGTTCTGCTAATTCCAGATACCAGTGTTTAAATTTAAGCAAAGAGCTAATAATAGACATTGTCCTGTGCAAAAACTTCAGGGGAAAAAACCCTACAGCTTCTGGAAAATTCTTTTCTGGATTCAAACCTTGCATCTAATTTCTATTTATTTCTGTAACCAGAGCAAAAGTTTGTCCAAACATTTTCAAATCCAGTTTATACTTTTTCAGCATAATGCTGAGTTATTGCAAGGAAATACTGCAAGGATAGACGAAGGTTATGTGAATGAGAGCCACGGTCATGCTCTTCAAAAAGCAGAGAATTTTTAGGGGGCTGGATGCTCACACATCATTTGCCGATGATGTATGTAAGGTAACAATTGTCAGCTGCTAATAGGTTAATAATGAACAGAGAATACGTAATCCTTTTTTCCTTTGCAAGACAGTTTGATACCTCTGTAATTTGGTAAATAGTAAGCGGTACATTGGTAGTGCTGTGTAGTGATATCTTTGGGGAGGGCAGCTATTCACATGAGTTATTTAAATAACAGGGATTTACCGTACCATTTGAATATTTTATGTAAGAGAAATATTCATGACCTGTTTGTTTTATTAATCTTAACACTGTTTCTACTAATTTCACCTGTTTTTATTTAGTGACCTAAAAACATTCTCATCTCTTCTGCATTTGAAGTTAGACTACTTCTGAATTGCTAGACTAGTTCTGAATTGTTAGATTATTTCTTATGAAAGACTAATACTCCTAAGTGCACCCTACTTGTGTTGTATGTGATATGATATAGAGGCAAGTAAACAGAATTTTTGTTCTGTGACTGAAATTAGAAAGAATGGGCCTTTTGCTCGATATCAGTCAAAACTGAAAAAAGGATAGAATCACTCTGAATCAGCTGCAAATATATCACTTGGAAATTATTTTTCTTTAATTCTGAGGTCCATTTAACTTTTGTTCATTTCTTTAACTGCCCATTTTAAAATAAAAATGGTTTTTCAAATGAAAAAGCCAATGCTTAATTTTGAAATGAGTAGGGGGGGAAAAAAAGCACTGGCATTGTAAAGAAAAATTTTTATACAGAAGATGAATGATTTAACATTGGAAAAAAATAATCTCTGTTTTTGCTTGAAACTGTCATCTGAATTCTACTGGAAATTTGCAAATATTTTTTCTTGCTCCCAAAACTCATTTTTGAATCAAACTAAAAATTTCATTCATCTCTAGTAATGTAAGACTGAGAGCTTTGTCCCATTGCCAAGAGACTAAACACTGATCGAAACTTAGATTTCTAATTCCATGTTTATTCCAGTAAATAGAATTTTATATTTTTATACCTTAAAAGCCTGAATATAGATACACTTTCTACTTCAGAGCCAAAAGGGTGTGCAAGTAGTACTTTAGGCACTAACAGATGAAGAAAGTATATCCATGTTATGCCAGCATAAGGCCTAATATAGTGGCTAATTAAGCCAGCCAGTCTCCCCAAAATTGCCTTATAATCCATGGAAAGACTATAACAGGCCAGCGTAAATCATATTTTGAAGTTAGATGGTGAAAATAATGTTTTGGTCATTTTTGATTGAAATATCCCAGGAGAGCAGCCTTGAAAATTTTCTGTTGAGATAGCATAAAGTGGGCTTGACTTTTAGGTGTGTTGATTTAGTCACCTTCTAAATGTCAGGGCATTTTAAGATATGGCACTACTTTTATAATACTTATTTTTTGCTTATAAAGTAATGTCTCTGAAGTACAATATTGGGATTATGCTATGTAAATGTTAAATGTAAAGAAAGAAATAGCAATAGAGCTCAACAACATGAATTGTGTATGGATCAGTTTACCTTGTAATCCCAGTTGGAACTGAAAAAACATCCTTTATTCACTAGTTGCAAAACAAGCACAGATGGAGAAAACCAATTACCAGAGAAAAACCTCAAGTAGAAAGTGAAATAGGTTCTGTATGTTAACAAGCAGCTTATTCAGAGAAGCTGCTTATACTTGGCGTGGCAGTAGCTTTCAACCCTGAAGAATTGCCTGATAGTGAAGGCAGGAGAGGAAACAGTGTCGCAGAACAAAGATGTAGAGAATTAGCGAATGTCACAAACATGAAATAATCATTCTTTGTGTGGTAAAGTTATTGCAGATTCTTGGCAATGAGTGACATGTAGAAAATGTATTTCTGTGCATTTGCCCTCAGTGTACGGCGACTGACAAAAGGAGGTGGCCCAGATTAATCTTGTCTAATTTTAGGTTCTTAATAAAGGTGCCTAAATAAGGTGTCTGCTTGTCCTTATCTTCTTTTATAGTCTG